CTCTCTCTCTCTCTCTCTCTCTCTCTCTCTCTCTCTCTCTCTCTCTCCTGTCTCTCTCACTCTCTCTCTCTCTCCATCTTTCACTCCCTCTCTCTCCAGCATCTATTTCCGCCCTAACTGGTTTGTGTCCCTCCTCTCCAGTCTAATGTGTTTCGCACACCTTCCCTGAGTCAGAGCCTGCAAAAAGCAAAAGAGCGAATGGAGAAAGTGCAACAAGCAGAAAGGGGGCTGCAAGGCCGCCTATGGGCTACTGCTTCCTGCCAAAACTTTCCGGAGAACCACTTCTCCACAGGGTCTGGGAGAGGAGCAGCGGTGGTGGCAGCCAGCAGCGGCAGGCAGCAGGAGCTGGAGAAGTGTGGGGGAGCCCCACTTCGAAGGTGGTGTGGATTTTATTTGTGTGTTTTGGGATTCTTTTTTTTTCTTTTGCTTTACAAAATGCATTTTACACCAAACTCATCTGGCATTAAAACTGAATCCATGCTCCTGGCATGTCTGGACCTCGTGGGAAGCAGAGGGGAGGGAGAAGAACCAAGAGAGTATAGTAGTAAAAACTCCACAAGTGTGTAAGTTCCTCTTTGTGCTGATTTCAAGACTGTAATTTACTAAAATAGTCCAAGACACCCTGAAGAATGTGTGCTCAATTTATGCATAGGAGTTCCCAGAATCCCAAAAGAAGAGGCACGCAGGCGGAAGTCAGGAGGACCGCCACAGAACCAACAGCCTCAACTTTACAGCACCTAGCCCCTCTACTGCCTAGTTTCCATTTTTTTAAGTAAATAAATGTGTAAATAAGATGTGGAGTTGTATACAAAGTTAGCAGTGCACTCTGTTCAGACGTGGACAAGTTTTTGGTGGACTTTACAGTTTTAAGAGGTATCTGATGGAGTGAGGTTCCATTAGAGAAATTGGTAGGTAAAGAAACCAAGGCAAGTAATTATAGACTCATAAAAAAAATAAGCTTTGAGTCTTCCAAATCCCAAAATTAGTTGGAAAAAAAAAACTTGTCAAAGAGACCCTCACATTTTCCAAGGATTCAGCCAATTAAAAATTATCCTCGTCTTTCACATTTCTATGGGTTCCTAGCTGAAGTATTGGGGGAGGGTTGTTTTTTTTTTTCCACAGCTGTTGTTAGTTTCCACCGTTCTTTCTTACCGCACTGAAATCCAGTAAATCACTCAGCTCTTTGTCCGTCCCTAAGGCAGCCATTCGCTGTTGGTGATGCATTTTAGCAAAATCACACAAACCTAGAAACATGGAAATAACCGCAATCAGAAAATCCAGTCTCAATCCTTGGAGAAAACACAATCGGATTTTTGGAGACTGGGGGCTTTGGTGGGGTGGGGGATGTAGGGGCGGATGGGATTAAGGTAGAAAAGGAGGAAGGGAGAATTGTTGTTGGGTTTTGTTTTGATTTTTTTTTTCATGGAATAGGCAGCAAGAGCAAAAAAAAAGAAAAAAAAGAGGAAAAAAATAGCGATATTGTATTTCCAAAGAGACGATCAAACTAGCAACATCCACTATAAAACCAAATCCAGGAAAGAAGGGGGGTAGCCGCTCTTCAGCGCATCAATTTATGCAACAGGAGGTAGAGCGAGAAATGAATGGATCACAGAGAAAAGAGAAACTACAGCATGAACCGGTCTCAACTTTCCCCCCACCCTCCACCCCACCCCCTCACACGCACACACTAACGCGCACACACTCGCACACACTCACAGCACTCCCCCCCCCCAACACCCCTGCCCTGCAAAGTAGCTCGAAAGAAATTAAAGACCAGCGTCCCTGGAGTGCAAACCCGTCCACGGGGGGGTGGGAGGGGGTGCCGGGGAGGGGGGAGCCCAGAAGAGCCTCAGGGTCCTCCAATTGTCCAGCACCCCTAATTTGTGAAAGAAAGGGTTGTTAAAAAAAAATTGAAGTCAGGCCCATTGGCAAAGTGCGCTGTGCCCGGGAGCCCGCCGGGCCCGGAGGGGGCGGAGGCCGGGGGAGGGGACGCCGTCGCTCCCGAGCTCCCGAACCCCGGCAGGGACAGCGGGGACCACGGGGCCCCGAGCTCGAGCGCGGCCGCCCAGCCCGGCCCGGCCCGGCCCCGCCGCGCATCCGCCCAGCCGGCCCCGCCGCGCCGCTACCTACCGCCCGCGCGCGACGAGGGGCTCCCGGTGCAGCGCCGGCGCCCAGGCGGCGGTCATGTCTATCCCCCTGCCTCCGCCACCACCACCTCCTCCAACGGCCGGCGCCCGCGCCCGCTCCGGCTTCCCCGCCGCCGCCGCCAATCCGCAGACACACAGCCAAGATCCCTGACTCTTAACACCAACTCTCTTCTCCCGGGAGGGGAGGGGACGAGGGAAGGGGGGAGGGGGAACACGGCGAGGCGCACGGAATTGCAAGTTCAGCAAAGAAATGGGTGGGGGGGCTCTGGCGGGGAGACGCGGCGCTCCGGGCCGGGCTGCCTGGGAAACACCCCCACCCCCCAAAAAAAAAATCCCAACACCTCCCCCGTCTCGAGGAAAAAAAAAAACCCACCAAGGAAAATTCACCCAGCACCTCATTTTTCCCCTCAGATCGCCAGTTAGAATCTGAAGCCTGAACAGTTCAGGGTTTGCCGGGTTCATCCATCGGAGGCACTTTGAAATTGATTCGAGTTTACATCCCCTCTCACTTCTGTCTGTCTCTCTGTCTATCTCTGTATCTCTCTCTCTCTGTATCTCTCTGTATCTCTCTCTCTCTCTCTCTCTCTCTCTCTCTCTCTCTCACACACACACACACACACACACACACACACACACTGCAAAGCAAGTTTTGCTTTGCCGCAAATACACGTGATGCATAAAGACTTTGCCAAGACGAACAATATTTTTCTTTTCCATACAGAAACCCATCCACATTTTTACTAAGGGGAGATATTTTGTTTGGATAGTTTTGCGTTTGGGGCCGAAATCTGAATCACAGACTTTCTTCTTTTCGCCCTTTTAACTCACAGAGCCGTACAGCTGCAAACTTTGTTTAAAAAGAAAAAAAAGACCAAAGTAATTTTGGGGAATAAATATGGTTTTGCTTTTACACTTGAGTTTCTAACTCCAAGTCCGCGCTCGGCAGCACTTCAAGTTTTCAACTCAACATTTACCACTCCAGGCCCTACATGCTCTTAAAACACACTTTTTCCACAACACCTTTTAGGATAAAAATTAAACTTTAAAATTATCTTTTCGTAATAACATGCGTGCTTTACCCAGTATATGCAACATTCATTATTTTGATGTTAAAAAACACGTTTGCCCAACCCTGTTATTGCTAAATGTGTGAGTACGTACCGAAATGCATGCACACACGTTTTCCCATTGGCAATTATTTAATAGGTTGTTCCTTTTGTTTGAAATAAAACATTGGGATAAACATTCTAAAAATTCAGTTCAATTACAAACAGTTTACTCTGACAGCAAATTGTAACGTTACCTTCAGTGGCCACAAATATGCTCACAATATTCCAAGGAAAGAGACTTTAAAAAGAGAGACAAAAATCTTCTGCAAGTACTTAGTATCTCACATGTGTATTCCCCCAAAAGAGTATTTTAAATAGTAGTCAGTCCTGTTCCAGGGTTAGCCACAGATTACAAGATTATGCACCTGGCTCTGGTTTTTGCATTTTCCATCATAAAACTGTAACAAAATTCCCCTCCCCCAAAAAAGTAATCATTAAAAAAAAATCCGACAACTTTTTCTTATTGTTTATAAAAAATAATCAACACAGGATAGTTATAATTGTTCTTCGGTCTTGTTGGTTGTATTTTTTTTTCTTCTCTTTCAAAGTCCTAAACTTGTTCCAAGTTTAGAGGCGTCTCATCATCATCATCATCATCCTCAACACCATCATTGACTCCCCCGAGGAGTCACATTGATAATAATAGGTTTCCCTGAAAGATACATTGTAATCCATTCACATCCGGGCACTGCGGCTTATAAAGAGAAGGCGCTGCGGCCGCGGCTGCTCCACCAGACAATGACTGGGGAGGGGCGGGGCGGGAGCGCGCGACCATAGAGTGGTAAACAGAGCGCCTAGAGAGGCCGCCAAGATGGCGGCGCGCTAAGCCACGCCTCCTCCGGGAACCGGGGCGGTCCCGCAGGCGGGTGGGTCTCACTCAGGTCGTCTCTCCCTGAGCGCGACCAGCGCCCTGTCTCCTGTCTGGCGTTGATCTCTGACTCAGAAGTGTTGTTCCCGCAGCATGAAAGAACTCGCGGGGAGGCCCGGAAGATGCCGTGCGGGCCTGAAAGCAGCTGGGTCCCTGTCAGTGTGGATGCAGAGTTTTCAGGCCGGCTTGGGCGGTTTGGGGAAAGGCCACTAAGTCAAGTGTGATCCTGAGTTGGAAGAGTGGGAGGGTCCTCTCTCCCTCTCCAGTCCCACCCCTTCTTTTATAAGCTCCCAGGAGTATGAGAATTTGGTTAGTGCAAAAGTCTTCCTTTATTGATATAAGACTCACATGGCTCTTGAGCCAAAAACCATGAAGCAAGCAACTTCCAATTTTTGCTGAACAGTTACCTTCTCAAACCTGTTTTCTAGTCAGCAAATAGCGATGAGACTTTGAGATAACTATATGATACACATAAAGGTGAGGCTGCTACTATAGAAATATACTGCTTCCATCCCTAATTTCTTACTGACTCACCGATACCCCTAACCTATACATTTCCAATTGTAGATTCTCAAGTCTCCAAAGAACAGTGTCCAGTTCTCCCAACAGAAAGCTATTCTGATCCAGATAGTGTTCTAAGAATTTCACACATATAGGCCTTAGCGAAGCTCAGCATGAACTCGAGTACTGGTCACCTCTTTACCTACACAGCAACAAAAGCAAGTGAAATAGCGCAGAGCCTGACCCACAGCCTAAGTTTATTAAACGGCATTAATTTGCCTAAGTAAAACGACTTACTCTCTATAGTAAGTGATAGAGCCCACCTTAAAAGACAATCTGTGACCAGAGTCCACATTCACCCGTGTTCCCAAGCCATCTGGCAGTGAGAATGTCCTCATCTCTATTTTCCGATTTTAATTCGTTGCGGTGACAGAATTGAGATGTTTAACTTGAGAGTTTTTACAGGACAAGAATTGGGACATTTATGGGCTATTTCACACATCACGAAGACTCCAGTGTTTTATCCCCCATGCCACATTTCCATCCTAAAATAATATTTTACATTTAGCCACCTCTTTATACTGCATTATCACAGACATTATCTCTGGTTCTCAGAGTAAGCCCTCGACAGGCTCTGGAAAAAATCATGTAATGAAAAGATCACAAACATTGGCTTGGGAAAAAATATTCCATTGGCTCTACCTCCAATCAGCACTGTGACCTCAGACTCCATGCCAATGACCTTTGCTGTAAAACTCAGAGGCTAGATTGGATAATCCCGTAAAAAATCCCTTTTAGCTTTTAGATTTGGAAGATTCACCCTCCTGAATTCAAGGGCAGCAAATGGTCTGTCCAGAAATCACTGGTAAGATCAAGTTTGGGATGGAAAAGCACCCTGCTAGTCCAGTGTGGTTTTGTTTTCTCCTGACCCCATTTGATCAAAAAGAAAAGGAAGCATGCAAGTCCCCTTCCTGTTTTAAATTAAGGGACAAATGTGGGTGTGTTCCTCTTTGTTTTTCCTTGTCGGAGGATAAGTACTTTCTAATTATACTTATGAAAATTGGAAGCACCTTTGAAAAGGGTATTTGAGAGGACACTGTAAAGCTTAAAAGATAAAAGAGTGTACTGGGTGAGTTCTTGATGCTTCCTTGGTCTACAGATTCCCCCAGAACCTGTCTGTGTATCTTGATATGGATATGTGTCTTAGTCAACTCTGGCCAATGTAACACAGCAAGATAGACCAGATCTGGTGATTTGCAGAAAAAGTGTTTACTTTTCACAGGTCCAGAGTCTAAAGTCTGAGATTAGGGTAAAAGCATGGTCAGGTTCTGCTAGGATTCTTCCTCTTCATGGCTTGAAGATGGCTGCTTTCTACCTATACTTTGGGAGCCCGGGGCAGTTCAAGAGACAGGGTTTTCTGTTTATCTCCAGCTGTCCTGGAACTTTCTCAGTAGACCTGACTGGCCTTGAACACAGAGAAATTCACCTGCCTCAGCCTCCTGAGTGGTAGGATCAAAGGTGTACTACCACAACCTGGCATCTACCTATATACCTTCATATAATTTGACAGAAAGAGAGCTCTGGTCTCTTTTTCTCATAAACTTACTAATCCAATGCTAGAGGCTAGCCTATGACCTTATCTAAGCTGAATTTCTTCCCAAAGGTCTACTTCCTAGTACATTGTGACTTCAGCACAAGAGTAGAAGCACAGACACACTCTCTAAAACTGTGGAAACTTATGTGGATGCCACAGAATTCCTTCTAACCTCAGCCCAGCAGTCTGGAAACACTGGAGCACTGGAACAAAGAGGAAGAAATCAACTGTAGTCTAAGGCAGAGTGGTAAATTAGATATGTGTTCTGATCAGCTGGTCAGACGGGTACCTGGTACCAAATCTTGTGTGTGCCACGGTTCTGAAAAGCAGAAATCCAGAGTAAGTGGATAAAAGTGCTTTTTAGATAGAGAGAAAGGTCTTGGGAGTTCCAAATGTAGACAATGAAATCCTGAGTAGAGTTATCTGTATACATCTTGCCAATCAGTTAGAGGACTCATTGCCTCCAAGAGAGCAGGACACTGCAATCATCCCCTTCCTCAGCTGGGCTAACTTGACAACTTTCCTGAACTAACAGGACATGGAACATGTCCCATTAAAATTCCAGGGTTGTTAATATTATCATCAGCATGTTAAAATGTTTTTGATTGAAATAGAATTATGTCAGTTTTCTCTTCTTTCAACTCTTACAGATACCCTTGCTAAACTCTAATGCCTGCCTCTCAAGATTCTCTCTCTCTCTCTCTCTCTCTCTCTCTCTGTGTGTGTGTGTGTGTGTGTGTGTGTGTGTGCTCAAATATATAAATACAAGTTGCTGATTCCGTTCTTGTTGCTTGTGTAAACACGGCTGCAGGGCTAATCACTATGCATTGGAAAACCTATGAGGAGGAGGTCTATCTCTTGGCCTAGGCTAATTATCCTTTTCCCAGCGGTCAAAGAACCTGTAGTTCTTTGTCTAGGGCTGAAATACCTAGAAATTTTCCCTGTCCATGTTACCATGTTCGTGGATATTGCCCTCATGGTATCCTTTTCTATGTAGCCATTTCTAAGTGAGACTCTTTCACCGCAGACCCATCCCCCTTTCCAAAATGTTCCCTGCTCCATAGGCGCAGGAGTTGTGATGCAAATATAGTCTGTTGGGGCTGTGCTTTCTACAACCTATTGATCTCTGTGTTGTGTCCATCTGTGGCTTTCTATGACGATCTCCATTTGCTACAAAGAGAGGCTCCTTTGATGAGGAATGGTAGCTACAATTTTCTGGTGTAAGGTATAAGGTTAAGGTTTAGAATGCAGTAAGGAATCTGCTAGACTAGCAAAGTGGCAGTAGCAGACTCTTTTCTAAGGCCTATGATCTCTAGCACTGGGAATTTGTCTAGGTT